TCTCCAACCTAAATTTCCCCCGATGCATATTGAGTTCATTGCTCCTGGCCCGGTCTGCTACAGCCAGAAAAAAAGCCTCTCTCCAGCCTCCATAATCACCCTTAAAGTATTTGAAGACTATTATCAAATGTCCTCTATTCTTTTCTCCAGGTTAAATATCCCTAGTTCTTTCAGCCTTTCCTCATAAGTCTTGTCACCCAGGCCCCTGATCATTTTTGCTACTCCACTAGATTTTTTCCAATATATCAGTATCCTTACTGAGGCCACAAGACACAGCTAACTCAGAGAAGAAAAATTGACAAGTTAGTTCTGCAGAGCATTTAGTTGGAGCAGCTTTATTCTATGAAGCATCATTCTGGGCTTCATAGTATCATAGCGCTTAGGGCTGGAAGGGACCTAAACAGATCATCAAGTCCGACCCCCTACCCCAGGCAGGAATGGGTTGCCGGTGTCATATCACCCCAGCCAAATATCTGTCCAGCGTCCTACTGAAGACCCCCAAGGTAGGAGAGTGCCATCTCCCTTGGGAGTCCATTCCAGAGCCTGGCAGCCCTAACTGTAAAGTAATGTCTCCTGATGTCCAGCCTGAACCTTCTGTCTAACAATTTGTGGCCATTATTCCTAGTAACCCTCGGTGGTGCCCGGGGGAACAGAGTCTCACCCAATTCCCACTGGTCCCCCTAGTGAGTTTGTAAACAGCCACCAGATCCCCCCTCAGCCTTCTCTTGTGGAGGCTGAACAGATTCAGGCCCTTTAGTCTCTCTTCGTAGGGCCTGCCCCACTGCTCCCCTGACCATGCGTAGTGGCCCTCCTCTGGACCCTCTCCATGCTGGCCACATCGCTCTTGAAGCGCAGCACCCAGAACTGGACGCGGTACTCCAACTGTGGCCTGACCAGCGCCGCAGAGAGGGGAAGGATCACCACCCTGGACCTGCTTGTGATACATCTGTAGATGCACAAGGTGCGACTAGCCTTACTGATTGCTTCCTTGCATTGGCGGCTCATGTTCGTCCTGGAGTCAACAATGACTCCAAGATCCCTTTCTGCCACAGTGTTGACACTTGGCTCTTTGCAGTTAAAGGAGCAAGCAGTCCTCTCCCTATTGATTTCTCTGACCCTGTATCCACATCCAAAATAAACATGCTTGCCTTGCAGGATGGGAGTTTTTAGAAACCCCCTGGCAGGAGGTAGAGGGAGGAGATACAGAGGCATCAAGTGCTGACCTCTCCAGGAAAGATGGCACCATAAGTATGGTGAGGGCAAGGAGGTGAAGTACTAAGCAGGCAGCAAAAGCCTCCTAAATTCTAGCCAGCAAGGCTAAAGGGGGGAAGCAGGGGTATGTTTTACCTATAACACAACAGCTTCTGTTCCAGAAGAAGTCATTCCAGTTTCAGTAGTTTTCAAACTGAACACAGATTTCCTGAAAGGCAGTGCCACCAGTTCTCACAATGAAATGCATCAATAAAGTTGAAGCCAGAAATCTGAACGCCAATGCCACAAATGTGTAAATTGCTGAAGAGAAGACACACCTGTCTTGGGCAATTTATATCCAAAGTTTGCAATATCAGCATTTTAAAACAGACTTTGTTTCATAGAATCACTGAGTCGGAAGGGACCTAGACAGATCATCTAGTCCGACCCCCTGCCATGGGCAGGAAGGAGCACTGGGGGTGGGAGGGCTCATAAGACCCCAGCCAGGTGCCTATCCAGTCTCCTCTTGAAGATTTCCAGGGAAGGTGGGAGCACCACCTCTCTGGGAAGCCTATTCCAGGCTCTGGCCACCCTTACAGTGAAGTAGTTCTTCCTAATATCTAACCTAAACCTATCCTCCCTCAGCTTGTGGCCATTGTTCCTGGTGACTCCAAGGGGGGCCCTGGTGAACAGATTTTCCCCGAGTCCCTGCTGGTGGCCCCTGATAAGGTTGGAGGCAGCCACAAGATTCCCCCTCAGTCTCCTCTTGTGGAGACTGAAGAGATTCAGGTCCCTCAGCCTCTCCTCATAGGGCTGGCCACGGAGGCCCTCAACCATATGAGTGGCCTCCTCTGGACCCTCTCCAGGTTCTCCAC